CCTTGGGGCTGGATCAGCACATCTACCAGGGGTTTGAAGTCCCTGGAGAAGCAGACTTTGTGCTCAGACCCCTCCTTTTCTTTGACCAACAGCTGGAATAGTGGTGCCTCCTGCCAGCATAGTTAGGCCAAGGGGCCAGCCTTGGCCACCGCCCCCAGCAGGACCCCACCACAGGTCTGGAGAAGGAGCAACAGGAAAGAAAGACAGGAAGAGGTGGGCAGGCCTGGGGAGACCAAGAGTGAAGGTAGAAAGAGGGCACACCCAAGGACTGAGAGGGCTGGGCCTGCCCTGAGAAAGTAGGGGGAACAGGAACGGATGGGGGCAGGGGCGCTGGAGGAAGGTGTGAGTCCTAGTGATTCTCAGGGTTCCCCACTTGTATCCCACCCACCTCCACCCCCTCCCTCCAAAACGCTAAGTCTTTGGCTCCCTCTTCCCAGCCTCCAGCTTCTCCTAGAGGGCCTCGAGGTTAAAGAGGTTAACAGGCCTGCCAGGCCATCCAGGCAGGGTAATTATACGGTTTAGAACAGTGGTGTGGGAGAGGATGGTAATTACACAGGGAGGTTCTCTCTGAGGGCTTCAGGGTTTGTGGGCAGGGACCTGGGAGGGGCCCATTCCACAAACAAACTCTCCCCAGTCCAGAATAGCCTCCCCACACCACATTCCCTGAGGCTCCTGCTGGCAGGGCCAGGAGAGGAAAGCCCCTCCTAGGGAAGCCCCCCTTCCCAGCTGCTTCTCAATGGCCCAGCCTTTCCCCTCCTTGGAAGGGCCTGCAGTGCCAGGGAATGAGTCCACTGACCCTAGTAATAGGGTCTTTAGGAGGATGAAGCAAGAAGAGATGGGATTAGAGGTCATGAGTTACTACTGCCCACTAAGCCCAGCTCTGATGGACAAGGCAGTTTCGGTGCATGGTAGCAGTGCAGGATAGCAGGAGCCCCTCCTCCTCACAGTGGCTCCCAGTGCTGGGGTCTGCAGCTCTGAAAGTGGTCCAGGTGTCTCTGGCCTCGAACCCTGGTGACCAGCTCCTGGGACCTGCAGTTCCTTTTCCTGAGGATGTAACATAAGGGACCCTCTACCCAGGGCTACACAAGCACCTCTTGCCTACAGCAGCTCTTGAAGCCTCATCCCTGCTTCTCTCCCAGCAGCTCACACCCTTCAAAGCTCAGTGCCTCCCTTACGCCCCAACCCACATTTGCTATGAACCAGTCAGGACCTTGAAGGAGGCGGGCCTGAAGGTTGCCTGGGTAACACAGGAGAGGGGCACCCTTGGCAGGAAGACAGTTGCCTGGGAGACCAGGGCAGTGGGCGGGGCCCCAAACCCTGGTTAGCTAGTGTTGTGATGAGGAAGGATCTAAATGTCCACATCTCTCCAAATTCCTTTTCCTTAAAGCCAGCAGGGTCCCCTCCTCGGGACTGGGTCTAGGGCAGCTGGAAGTCTGAAGCTCCTGAAAGAGACCTCCCAAGGTTTACCTGCAACTCAAGAGAACCCAACAGTACCAAGCCTGAGGGAACTCAAGGAAAGAGGCAAGATCTAGGAGGGGGTGGAGAGAGAAACAAGGCTTAATGCATTATGATATAGAACTTCTTGGACTAGAAATCTAAAGTGAAAATACACAAAGTATGCAAAAAAAAAAAAGTCGTTTTAGACCCACCTCCAAGCAGAAATTCCAGATTCGACCACCAGATGGCAGTCTTGCCCACTCATTGGATTAAATGCAGTCCTGTAACCCGCGGGAGGAAGCCAGGAGGCAGAAAATCCTTTCTGTCTCACAAGTTCCAAGACTCTTGCTCTCTAGTATTTGGCAGGTACCCATAACTCCTTATGGCCATAAATATACAGTTTTCTTTCCCT